GTCCTGGCAGCGGCAGTTCCAACATCCTTTGCCTCATTTATCCACCCTCTTTTTTTTAGCACATGTAAAAAATAAAATGTCAACCTCACCTCACTCACTTGATATCCAAGCGAGTGCACCTCATCTGTGCCCCAATCTGCTCATTTCTGATCCAGTCCATCCTGCTCTTCTTCTATTACAAATCACTCTTGACACTCATCTCCATCAATTCAACCCTGTCTGCACTCTTTTCTTCACCACATCAGGGTACAGTCTGTTACTTTGGATGGCTGACCCTAGGTAGCTACACTCTATTCTATCTTCTGAGGTTTGCTCCCCACTCTCAGCACAGATCGCAGTGTCATCTGCAAACATCATAATTCACCATTTCTTCATTCCAGGTTTCTTGGAATTAATAATAGTGGTAGATTTAACATATAAGGGATGGAGATTTTTTTTCTCGAATTGTAAAAGATTTCAGTTTGTAGTGAGCTTTATAAAAAAGGAAAAGAAAAAAAGACTTGGTTTAGAGAAAGTGATGGTTGTCGTTCACAGAGCTGCAGAAGGACGAGAGAAAGTGATGGTTGTCGTTCACAGAAGGACACACAGATTTACACCTCCTAACACAGATCAATTGCATGGGGACAGCAGTTTTTCCCTGAGGTTTTGTAAGAAATCTTTTCAACTCTCCAAAGTTTGAACTCCCCGAGGAGTTGTTGAGATATAAATTTCAATTTTTAAGCGACTGATAACAAGTAGAAAATGGGACTGGGGGACTGGTAGATTACACAGACATGGTTTTTAATACAATAAAGACAGTGTTTTTCAAGGCTGCAGTTGTTTTTTTCCTAAAGCACAGAAAAATAACAAGATTATGATAAAACGTCGGGGGAAAACAAGTCATGCATGATGCAAAGGTGAGGTTTTATCTGCAACGTCCTGGAATGATGAAGTGCTGCCATCAGCAGCATCAGGCTATTAAAGTGTACAGTATTCCTCCCTGTGGGTCGATCAGCTCTTTATTCGGCTTTTCCAAAAACATGGCTGTCAGCTTATTTATATATCTAATAAATCAAAGTCTATGAAAAGTATGAGATAAGGACTATCTTTGAATTAAAATGCCTTGGGTCAATATATCAAAAAATAATCATTTCAAGGGAAACATCACGCAAACAGAATTCAGCAGCTATAAAACACAATGACTTTATCTGAACATGCGTCACAAGCAGTAACCTCTGTGAACAGTGGCCATGAAAACGACCAAAACGTTGTCTCTGTTTTGCTTTTTTGTTTTTAAATGTAGAGACTGTTGGTCCGTAGTGGTACCAGGGCACAGTGGGACATAGTGAAAAAATGTAAGAATGAAATAAGAATATGAGTCTGAGCGTAAGTCTCAAACCCAGCCAAAGAATGAAAAAAAAGTGCTTATATAACTTATAGTCCAGAAAATATGGTACTTCAGTTTTACTAATTTACTTCATTCAAAAAGAATCCAGTCATATATTTTTACTTTTTTCATTCAAAGATAATCTGTCAATGTTTCAAAACAACAGTTCATTTAGACTCTACTAACAGAAGAAAGTCTAGAAGATGTTTTATTTTGAAAATGTACCAGGTCCTTGGTACAGAAAAGGTTGGAGACTGCTGAACTAGAGGGTGGGGTTCAGAGCCAAGTCTCCAAATGATGTCATTTTACTATAGGTTTGCACTCACAAATGAAGTAGACAGATGATATCTGTGAAAGACCAGTGATAAATGCACTGACAAATATTGATTTTTTTAACCTAAAAGAAACCTAAACTTACAATAATTTCCAGTCCTGCGTTATACAATAATGAGATTCAATTCTTGCTGTGAAAAAAAAAATGTCATAAAAACGTAGAGATTTTATTTTCCAACAATTTCTGATTAACTTGTCAGTCAGACAACCAATAAAACTCTGTCGTTCGCAGCTTGGACAGAGCTTTGTCGGAGCGTCCCTGACTTCCATACAGGAGTCAGCAGTTTATAAAAAAATATAGATGCTGTGGAAATATAATCAAATTAGAACGAGAGATTCTACAGTACATGGACGCAGCACTAAATAAACATAATCCTGTCACCGTTTACTTCCCCTCCTGGAACACCCTGCTATTCATCTCTTTAATACACACTGCAGTAAAGGCAGGTACTGTATGTGTGTGAGCGAGAGCATCAGGGCAACATTACAGCTGGAAGCATATGTGAGGTGTGAATGTTAACACAAAAACATGGAGTTCTTTTATTTTTCTGACCTTAAAAAACAAAATCATTTCAATAAGCTGCGGGAAAACCAGTGTGAGATTTACAAATAAAATAAACCCGCAGCATAAACACAATCCCCGCCAGCACACAGCCAGATATTCAAACTAGTTTTAACTGGTGAATGAAAGACACACCAGCGAGTGACAAATGAGGAAAAACACTCTAGTACAAGGTTGTTTGGAGGGATAATATTCCTTCGAGCTCATCCTGTGTGTGGGGTCAGGGTTCAAACAGCCTACGTGACGATGAAAGTAAGATGTTTGACTCAACGCACGTTATAGTGATTTGCGATTTTTAAATATTTCTTTTCAAGAAAATCTATGGACTGTAAAATACTTTTCCTATGCCGATTAGAGTGAGAGAAGGCACGTGTCTTTTTAGAATGCGTAAACGATGTGACTGAAGTCTCTGATGGTTTGTTGGAAGCTTAGCTTGTACATGGAGCTTTTTGATGCGCGACAATCATGTAAATCTAACAACCTGTTTATTACCAAGATACATTATTCATGTGGTAACGCCAGTACTTGAATACTTCGAGTATTCTTATGGTTATTTTAGTGACTAAAATTGTTGATCCCTACTGTAAAAAATGTTAATGGACATGATGATGGTACATGAGAACCTTCGTACCGAGAAAAACAAGGAAAGACGAACCCTTCAAAAGCTGTTAAAAGGGATTGTATTTGCACACACTTTGTTTTAAAATGGAGTTCAAAACACACACACACACACACCAAAGACACAAACACACACACTGTTTTAAAATGAAGTTCAAGGAAAAATAAGACTTCCTTCAGAGGCAT